AATATTCTAAATTATATGTAATTTTGACTACATCTCAATGATATAAGTAGAAATATCGTAAATCCATAAAGCACAGTTTCTATATCTCATATATATCAGCCCAAAGAGATTGTAGATTGTAAATGGGATTATAATATTCTAAATTATATGTAATTTTGACTACATCTAAAGCACAGTTACTATATCTCATATATCTCAGCCCAAAGAGATTGTAGATTGTAAATGGGATTCTTTTGGAGTACACAGTGATTTTGCTGGAGGGATGAGTCTTTGTAAAGTACCAGGCTATGAAAATTTGATTTTATGTGATGCATGCTTTGAGATATTTGTCAAATATGGTAGGTAATCATCATAAATCATGAGCTGAGTTCATGAAATTAAAGATTATTATTTTTAGATAGGCATAAGCTATTGAACTAGCATGAATTCGGATGTGGCGAGCTTGAATTGGTAGCTCTAGGCCAAAATTTTCTTTTGAAACTATAGGAATTTCATGTCTTAAGACGTCGTTGCTTCTCTACTGCAATGTTCCCCATGTCTACTGAAGGCAATTTTGAGGTTCTGTGGTTGAATTGGGCTAGACCATGATATAAAGGCAAATTTACATACTTAGCACACAATTCTTATGTCTTTACATATTTCACACCTGAACTTTCATATTTACACACATAGTTCTTTGGTGTTTTAAACCGATGCATGAAGCAGTGTACTTCACTTTTAAAAAGTGGTAATAGTGCTATTTTTAATGTGATGTTAAAGATTTGAGTGTTATGTGTATAGATATGATAGTTTAGGTTAAAAAAATGATAGTTTCGGTGTGAGATATGTTAATACAACATAATTGTGTGATATGTATGTAAATGCCTCTAATATAAATGTGATGAAGAAGTTGTGGGGGCTACAATGGACTGCCTAGGCAGTGAGTGACAAGGTGTGGTCGAGACCCATTCTACCTTTTAATCTTCATTTTGTAGGTTTTCATAGAGATATTGAAGTACCTGACAACATAGGGATAGGGGCTTACTCGTTATTGACTATGCTAGGTCCTTAGGATTACTAGTTCTGCTTGCTAGAAGGATGATTATCTCTCGGCCAAACTCAAGGCTTACACTGTTTTGAAGAGGGGGTAATCATTCTGAGGAGGACAAACTGCTAGTTTGATCCAGCCAGGCTTGTGCTAGAGATAATTGGTCGTTCAAATGGTATCATTGGCTTTACCCAGCTTGTTCTTGCAGGAAAGAGGCTTTTTAAGCCAATAGATACTAACACATGAAATTATGTTTGTCATATTTATTTGAATCCAAGTCTTTAAGACGATTTTTATTTCAAGATTTTTCTTGTTTTGATATTGAAATGGAAAAACTGACGAAGGTATATTTTCTTGCTTAGCTTCTTTCTCTGAAGTTATTGTGGTTGGTAATTATTATTATTATTTTGGTGATAGTTTTAACAGATATTTCATCATCTGTTTTTTGTAACTCCATTAAGTTCAAATCTCTTATTTATAGATCGAAGAGAAGAAGGGTTGCTCCTGCTGGGGAGAATCTTGAAAATGCTTCCACAGGTATTTTGCTATTAGAAGGTTTAATTTCTGATATTAGAGGTGAAAAATAATCAGTGTAGAGTCTAAATTTATTCAGTCATTGTTGATTTGTGTTAAACAATATAATAAATATTGCGACTTTTTGTTTGTCTTATTTCCGACTGGACAATATCATGTGCTTTAGGTCAAGGCGGCGCTGATGGAAAAAAAGCATTATACCATTGTAATTATTGCAACAAGGACATATCTGGAAAGATAAGAATTAAATGTTCAAAATGCCCGGACTTTGATCTTTGCGTAGAGTGCTTCAGCGTTGGTGCTGAAGTCACCCCTCACAGAAGCAATCATCCATACAGAGTCATGGTTGGTATAGTTATTGTAACGCATTTTTCATTTTTTTTTTTCTTTGCTTATTCTTAAGTGCTGGATCATTTGTTAAATTACGAGTGTTAGATTTCCTCCACAGAAATGTATAGTAAATCAGAAAGTTGGACCAGAACTATCAGACACTAGCCAACTTGGCTGGCAAAGAATTTCATTTCCTTTAAAATTATGTAATAATTTAATAGAAGCACACATATTAAACATTTAGGTAAATTTTAACTCTAGAAGTAAGGCTGAAACTTTTTTATCGCTACTGTTGTGATAAAATTACATTTTGATCAATATATTAGAAGCTCATTTTTACTACATTTATAGAGATGATAAATTATGCTATCGGATCTAGAGCTTACTTGATTCAAACATAAATCAGGCTTACATTTTAGAACATTCATGTTGCGCATTGAATACCCAAAAAATGTTCAGAACGAGGCCAATTTGGTTGAGTTTTTTTTTAAATCTTATTTAGTTATAGTGGGAAGGCAAAGTTGTTTGCTGATTCTATACTGCAAGGCATGCAACTCCAATTAGCTCAATATGGCATGAAGGCTGAAGCCTGAAACACTGAGTAGGTTGGGGAGTGGAGGTGCGGCTGTGATCCAAGTTGAATTGGACGATCGAAGGACCTTAAAGCAAATTTGAATATTTTACTAGGTTATATGATATTTTGTAGAAGAGGTTAATTACGGTTTTAGAGAGGTTTAAGGCCTGCAGGTAGAACATTGGATGGCATTGTTATATAGGAGAATTAGGCTTTACTTAGAAGAAGTGCAAATCATGGTGGTGAGGGAGATTTGGTTCTTTGTTTTGGTTTCTGTTGGTGGTGAGTTGATAACATATTCAGTTTATGGGTAGTTATAGATTGGCCAAAGGAATAAAAATGTTTTGAATTCCTGATGCCGGAGCTAACCAATAATAATAGGAAATACAAATATCATTACTGAAATCCAAAGGAAAATTAGGATCAAAATCACTGAAATCTGAAATTACAAAAACAACCACACAAACTTAACTAGGGCTACATCCAGGGGTGGTGATGGTCGACAAGGGTTTGGAAGGTGGCCCGGGGGTAGAAATGGGAGTTGACAATTAGATAACGACAAGATGGAAGCTTCTTGGTACCATACAACAAAAAAATAATAATGAGTGACTGTTCGGGGCGGCAATAACGACTAGGAATGACCGTGACAGCGACGGGAATGTGTGGGATTGCCAGACAACATAGGGAGGGCTATCTCGTGGCTGCGACAAAGAGGGTGTTGGTTGGACAACGAAAATGGGTAGTTGGAATGACTAGCAGCAAGATGGGAGGTTGCTAAAGGGATGGTTGCAGGTGGAGGAGATGGTGGATGACAGTTGGAGTTGCAGGACGACAACAAGATTGCTATCCAGTGGTTCCACAACGAGGAAAGGCGATGACGTCAATGAGGGGAGGAATGTAGATGATGGAAAAGTCAGAGGTAAATACACTTGCAAGAATGAGCTACAACCAGAGCACCACCCGATCCCTTGGAAGGAGATCACCAACTCAGATGAACTACAGCCGGAGCACCACTCGCCTTTGGATACAACCCTAGAAGGGAAAATTTGGATGTCGACGACTGTCTTGACATAACGTAATCCAAAACTGAAAAACAAAAAGAAAATACCAGAGTCACATATATAAGCCTTAGATAACTAGGATTGGAAAAATTATGAAAAGGAGACGCCAATCCCTCATAGAATAGTCGACTGGCTCTCCCGGATTTAGATCGGTTCAGTTCAGACAAATGAATCATGGAAGCCTCTCGTGACTTTTTTACCGTGACACCTTGTTTCATGTACTCGAGGGAGTCAAAGAGAGGGAGGAAGCGAACCGATTGGAAAACAAAAGGGTACTGTTGTCCTATAAAGCAACGAGAATGAAGGGAGGCAGAGGCAGGCTTGAGAGCGGGAGAAGGAGAAGTCGAGAGGTATCTTATTAGAGATTCAATTCCAATTGGAACATCGAGGGCTTCGGCGACTAATGACGTCGTCAAGCAGAGGAGGCATGACGCTAAGGCTCGATGGGGATGACGGAAACTAAGGAAGAGGCATCGAGTGGGTCCCGTGCGTGCGGGTAAAAGACAGATCTCGTATCCAGAGAGGGAAGACAAGTTTTTTTTTTCGCGTGGATTAGGGCTCGACTTAGATTTAAAGGTAAGTTTTAACAATTTTAATTAACTGATTTAACAAGGAAATTATATAATATAATTTAATAATTAAATTATAATATAAATCTAATCTTACCTTGTTGAAATTTGTTCGGGTCAATCTCCCTCATTCTTTAGTTCATGCACTTCTCCTACTTCTATTCCCCTTCAACCTAAAATTCTAAACCAAGAGTTCTAAATCAATAAAAATTTTTATTAGCATTACAATATATATATATATATATATATATTGAATAACAAATAAAGTTAATCAGGATTTCATAAAGTGAACTATTGGAAATTAATCCTTAAATAATGTAAAGTAAATAATTAATTAAAATAATATGAATAAATTAAATTTAATTAAAATAAATGTCGTGTTTATTATATGCTTCAATTTTAGAAGAGTAGAGATCAAAACAAATCCAAGAATAAATAAATTTCACAAGGTAAGTACTCATATTCTCATGCTATAGTATTGTTTTGTTTTTCTCAACGAAATGCATTTACTGTTATTGTTATATTTATAATGCTACATACCCATGATTTCTATTAAAGTTTTTTCATATTGTGGAGTGACATGTATACTCAGTATTATTAATTATCATAGATATTGTTTCGTGTTCATGTATATTGATTGCTTTACAAATAAGAATGATAGGATTATAACAAGATAATGCTTGTTATAGTATGTTTATATGTGCATGTTTGACTATGATGAAGTCACCCTTTTATGATACCATCAGAGCGATGCTAAGATATTCGTGCACGTAAATGAAAAATAATATTGATATTGAAGTACTTTAATTAATATAATTTTTAGACGATTCTTTTATTACGATTGTGCAGACATGAATGATATAAATATGTAATTGATGTAGTAAGATACATTGAATAGTTGAAATATTGTAAGCGATCATATTTGTAAACTATCAAATATTTTATATTGATTTATTATAAATTTAAGTGACATGCATATTATTTTTTCCTTGTATTACTGTAGTTTAGGAGTATGAGTATTCATTGGTTTTTGCTAGTTCACTATTATTTTAAACTAACTTTTCAAGTGCAATTAATTGATTAAAACATTAGCAATATAAGTTAAAATATTTATACAAAATGCAGATAATCTATAATTAGGTAATTTTAATTGTACTGCTTCAATTTAATTTTTTTAGTGGCTCTTTTATTTATTAAATGTTAGTTATAGAAAATGAATATATAAAATTTAATTCTTACCGTTCGACCGTTTGTACCTGCCTTAGTTAAGGGACGCCCTTTGATATATATATA